CCCAGAATTCCCCAGCCAGCCATGCTGGCTGGGGAATTCTAGGAGTTGAAGTCCACACATCCTAAAGTTGCTGAGGTTGAGAAACACTGCCCTAAGCCATTGAGAGTTTCTTCTCCTTCTTCTTTGTATACAGTGGTGGCAATACATTTCCAGCTTTCTTGCTTATCCAGTAGATTTGAGTGCAAAGTTAAGAGGCACATTTTTTCAGCGGCTGTTTTTGACTCAGGTATCCTTTCCTTTGGAGACTAGTGATCCCGCTTTACCACAGCAGAGGCAGTGGGATATAGCTGGCTTCAGATCCAGAATGCACACGAGTTATTAGAGGGTGATTTGTTCATTTGGTATGGAGGGGACATGAAAGGACATGGTAGTAGAAAAGCAAAAGGGAAGGTAAAAATCCCCTCAAACCTCGGCCCCACTACAGAAGTGGTTGGCCACTGCCTTCTCCCAGGATGTTGTTTCAACCACTGAATCTTGCCTATGGCCTTGGGATTTCCTGGTGGTCTCCCATCCTGTTAACCAAGTCCAATCCTGTTTAGCTGCTACCTGCTGTGACTTCAGTGAGGGGTTATTTTGATTTTTCTAGTCTGTGACTGCTTTATCATTGCTTCCATCACCTTGTGTCTGTTTCTGCATTAGAATACCAGTTGTCCCTTGCCTAAGTTTTAAAATGGATTTTATGTGTTGCAAACTATCAACATAGACAAAATATAATTTCACGTTGTGTGTGTGTGTGTGTGTGTGTGCACGCTTGTGTATGTTTTATTTTTCAGGAGCTGGCTTTGCAGCCTAAGGATGACATCGTGGACAGGCCTAAAATGGAAGATACCTTGAAACGAAGATTTTTCTACGACCAAGCATTTTCTATTTATGGAGGTACCGTACCACCTCCGCAGCGTGACTTTCTTCCTTGTAATTAACGTTACAGCTGTCAGTCATATAAAGTGCATTACTTATTATTTATATAAATATTTAATATTTATATCAATGGAAAATATTTATTTAGCAATAGATATCCTAAGCTTCTCAGTCCAGCTCAAAGCAAGGCAAAATGTCAGACACAACTTGAGATGGTCAGTTAAACACAAAGCAAAAAATAACATTGAAATAATGAAACCACACATTAAAACTTCAGGGAGGACTGCCGGGTTCACCTGAAGGAGTGATTTCTTTCTCTGTGAAAAGAGGTAGAAGGATGTAGGGACAGAATGTGCATTTAGCCACTGGGAATATGTGTGTTTTTCTCCTCCCCATGGACAGAGTGATGGAGTTAATAGAAGCCCCTTGACGTTCTTTTCTTTATAATTTCACAGAAATGATAAAAGAAGCTTAATTCTCTGTAAGCTGTGGCTGTTCTGCTTTGCACGATACAGGTTTTGGGTTTGGGCAATCTGATTTTGACTCACTAGGATTCCAAGGGGTTCTGGTCAGATTGGACAGAAGAGATGGTTAACAGGATTTGTGGTTACCTGTTCTGTTTCTTGTAGGAGTGAGTGGCCTGTATGACTTTGGTCCTGTGGGTTGTGCTTTGAAGAACAACATAATTCAGGCCTGGAGGCAGCACTTCATCCAGGAAGAGCAGATTTTTGAGATAGATTGCACCATGCTCACACCTGAAGCTGTTCTGAAGTAAGCACAGGCTTCTCTGCGTGAAGGCTAGATTTCTGAATCTTCAGTCTCTTTAAACATTTTAAAAATTCTTCCTTGTTGCAACTTTTTACAAGCCCTGTTCTCCTTCTCAGGGAGGAATAATCTCCCTGTTACAAAATGTGATCTGTCTGGCCTAAAATTAAATTGTGCGACTGCATTTGGAATATTGAGTGCAGTTCAGGCCACTGCACCTCCAAAGGGATAAAGAGGAGCTAAAGAAGGTTCAGAGGAGGACAACTAAAATGATCCAGTAGCTGGAGCAGCTCCCCCAGGAGAAAAGGTTGCGACATTTGGGGCTTTTTAGTCTGGAAAGGAGGCGAATGGGAGGGGACACGATTGAGGTGTAAAAAATTACTCGTGTGGATAAAGGGGACAAGGAGAAGCTATTTTCCCCTTCCTAAAATAATAGAACCAAAGGTCACCCAATGAAGTGGAATCCTGGAAGAATCAGGACAGACAAAAGAATATTTTTTTACATGTAAAAAAAATATTGGGATTTGCTACTATGAGATGTGGAACTGGCCACCAGCTTGGTTGGCTTCAAAAAAGGGTTAGACCAATTCATGGAAGTCATCGAGATTGATGGCTCTTAGCCTCAATGGCAGCAGGACTGCCTCTGAAGGCCATCTGCTGGGACACTCCTGGGCTTCCTTGGGCAGTTGGTGGGCCACTGGGAGAACAGATTACTGGACTAGATGGGCCAGGAGGCTGGTCCAGCAGGGCACTGTTGGTGCTGTTCTCCTCCTGTGAAGGCCTTTTGCTGGGAGACTTTGTTTGAACCTCGTTACATTTTAGTGCTGTGTCTAGAAATCATACTCATTCCTCTTCTGAAAGCAAAAGACACCTGAAATTACAAGTCTGCTTTCTCCTTCTCCCCCTCCCCCACTGCCCCACCTTCTCCCCCACAAAAATTCAATCCCAATTCCTATATTACACACCATAAATTCGTTGATTGATTGATTATCCGTCATCAAGTCAGTGTTGACTTTAGATAGATTTTCTCCAGGAAAAGATCCATTAAGTTGACAGCTCTTCTTTCATGCTTGGTTCCTCATCAGTGGCATGTCCAAACTTATATTTGGTCTTGCAATTAGATCTTTCTAATACTTATAGTATAATATACACAAATATCTAGGGCTGCTGTTCCCAATTTGGTCCCCCCCCCCCCAATACGTGCTAGGAATTATGTGATTTGTTGAGCAGTCCATCTGGAGGCATCCGTTTGGGCAGAGCACAGGAAAAGCTCTTGTTTAGGTGATGTTCTCAGTTTCCTGTTTTTTATAACAGTTCTCTCTGGGACTTAAATTTTTTCAACTTCTTTGTCAGCCACAAAAACGTCCTAATACAAGGAATTAAATCCTATCCTGAGACCCTTTAATACAGTGTTTTTCAACTGGCTGGGGAATTCTGAGAGTTGACATCCACATGTCTTAAAGTTGCCAGGTTTGAAAAACACTGCTTAAATATTTGTGAGGCTCCTTTATGTACCTTGGCAGTATAAAAGCAGTGGTTCTTCTTATTCTCTTCCCCAGTAAAAATGGTTTGCTGTCCTTTAATAAAAAAGCCACCTAGTAAGATTGATTGGTTTCAGCATAGGAATGAAACCCTTAGGAAAAAAAAGGCTAATTTTAAATCCAGCTTCCCTTGAATACTTCCTCTCTTTCTTTAACAGTGATGTATAAAAGATGGTTAATGTAAGCCCTGAATTGTTCATGAATAACTAAATAAAGCATTCCCATGGTGCTTTATGTAACTATAGTCCAGTCTGTTTTATATCAGCTATCACAGATTTCTTTTTCTATCTTGAAACTGTACACTAAAAAGAATGTGTTTCTTTTGCTTCTCTGAAATGCCCTCAGTTACAGATAGGGCACTATGGCTGGCCCTCCTAGTGGTGTTCAGGATGGCACCTCCAAGAGCCAAGGGGTGGACCCTTAGCCTTCAGCATCGAGCCCATAAAAAAATGGTGCCATGTTTTAAAAAGCTCACCAGGAAAAAGGCTATCCCAGGCTGTATATTTATTCAAGTAGTCCTCGACTTACAACCACAATAGAGACTGGAAAATTTGTTGTTAAGCGAAGCATCATGTGACCACACCCGATTATACAACATTTTTGTGGTGGCGGTTAGGCAAATCACGTGGTTTCCCCATTGACTTTGCTTGTTGGAAGCCAGCTGGGAGGGCTGCAAATGGTGATCACGTGACCCTGGGATGCTACAACCGCAGTAAATACATGCCGGTTGCCCAGTGCCTGAATTTTGATCACATGACTGCAGGGACGCTGTGACAGTTGTAAGTGTGAGGACTGGTCGTAAGTCACTTTTTTCAGCGCTATCTTAATGGTTACTAAACTAATGGTTGTAAGTCGAGGACTACTGTATGGTTTTCATCCAGTAAATTTCATTAGGCTGTGACCAGATAAAAGGAATTATGCTCATAGTGGGATTTAATTTTAACCAGGTTATAGTTTGCTGGTTATTTGTTTCATTTTAATTAATAATCATTTTCATCTTTTTCCTTGGGGAGGAATATTTCTTTTCAGAAACAGACATCTGTATCTTGATTCAGTGCCAATTTTTAATGTTTTTGTTACCACTGATAATATGTCTCGTTTTAATGGTGGTTATTTTGTTTTTCATGCCCCTACACTTGGCGCAGCACAAAATGATACGCGACAGCATTCACAATTTGGTATAATAAGACCTTGTATTCCAATTTGAAATCTCTATTCCACTTTGAAATCACAGCTTACTGCTTTTAATGACCTGAATGGCCCTTAGCATTTAAAACAGTCATTGGCACCTACATCTGAATAGCAGAAATTATCCACAAGGAGTTGATACAAAAACTAATGTCAGAAAATACCATGAAAGAAAAGTGATTTAATGCCTTTTTAAATGTAGATAAATCAGACTGCAGGTGTAATTCTGTTGAAAGCTGGTTCTGGAGGATTGGTGCTAGAGAGGAAAAAACCCTCCCAACTGTAATGTAGCTGTTGGAGTACAAGGGGGTATCAGTGCCCCCTGGTTAGACAATCATAGTGTTTACTCTATTCTGGATAATCATGGTATTTTTCCTTGTAGGACCTCTGGCCACGTGGACAAATTTGCAGATTTCATGGTGAAAGATGTGAAAAGTGGGGAATGCTTTCGAGCTGATCACCTCCTGAAGGGTATGCTTTATGGCATTCGTTTGTCTCTCTCTGCTTCCATCATAGTCCTGTTCAAAATTTCAAGACCAGCTTATGTTGGAGCCTGTCTGTGGCCCCTTGTTGTCTTAACAATGCCAACCCTGGTTAAAATCCCAAGCACAGAGTTTCACTGTATTTATTTCCTTCTTCAATTTTGAGGCCACCCACTCCACAGCGACTCTGGGTGTCTTGCAAGTAAAAAAAAAAAAAATTAAAAGACAGCAAAATATATCAAAGGGGGGAAAAAACAGCTGACTGGAAGACAGAATCAGAAACCAAAGGGGCTCAACCACCATCCTAACCCTAACCCTGGGAGGACAACCAGGCCTTTAACAGTTTGCAGAAAATCAAAAGGGGGGAGCCGTACAAATCTTGGTGGGGTGTGTATGTGGATATCATTCCACAAGAGTGGAGTTATGATTGACTTGTTCTAAACCACTGTTTGCCAACCATAGCAGTTTATAGATGTGTAGATTTCAGATCCCCGAATTCTATAACCAGCATGGCCACTGATGAGAAGTAATAATAGTAACAACAAAAACAATATAATTTGTATAGCCATTGTGACTCTGGGTAGCTCACAGTAATTAAAACAACGGAAACAGTAAAAAATAAATAAGCACAGCGGCATACAACTATCCTAAAAACACAATCAAAAATTCAATAAAGCTTAATTGAATAAAGCTTAATTCAATAAAGCTTAATAAAAATTCAATAAAGCTTCAGCCGGTGAATATAAATCATATATCCTTTTAATATAGCCATTGGCAAAGTTCACCACTACTGCTGTGACCCCGAGGCCCGATGGCACACCCAAGACTTCAGGACAGTGTTTCTCAACCTTGGCAACTTCCAGATGTGTGGGGAATGCTGGGAGTTGAAGTCCACACATCTGGAAGTTGCCAAGGTTGAGAAACACTGCTTCAGGCCCTTCCTAAGAATCCTGGGAGTTGAAGTCCACACATCTGGAAGTTGCCAAGGTTGGGAAAGAGCGTTCTAAACTTCGTCTCTGAAAAGGAGGCGCTTGCTACTGCCAGCACAAATGCTGAGTAGGAGGAAGGAATAACTACATTTGGTCTCAGCCCGCATTCAGTTGTGTGTTCACATCCTGGCTCGTGAGCAATGCTCAACCAAACTCTCACTATGAGTGACACTGTTCTCACTGTATTTGTAAATCTAATAGTTGAGAAGTAGAGATTGAGGCACTCTCGTTCAGTCTCTCTCTACAGACTAGAAATCTTGTAGCAAAAGAGTTGTTTAATTTAATCTGTAGGTCTAGTGCAGCAATTTTCAGATTTTGTCCCCAGGGCATTCTTTCCACCTTGCATTTGTGTGTACACAACACCAGAAGGATGTTGCTGTGGACACCTGCCCTCTAGATGGTTTTGAGGATAGTGTGGCACTTACTGTTCTCCTGCACCTGGCTATCACTTCCTTGAGCTGGGGGCATGGCTTGGACCATACCTAGCTTTTCCTTGTGACCGTACATTGCAGGAGAAGGCAATACGATGAAGAAAGGTCTGTGGGGAAACGATCTCTGATGTTTCAGGTCTCAGAAGCCCTGCCTGTTTGTCAGTCACCACGTCGCTTCCCAGCGTTTGGGTAGGCTCCAGAATCGCCTACGAACGCTGCTTCCCTTTCTCCTTTTGCAGCTCATTTACAGAAGCTGATGTCAGACAAGAAATGCACCGCGGAGAAAAAGATGGAAATGGAGAACGTGATCACGCAGGTCAGTCAGCTGTCTGGCAAGCAGAAGGGGCCGCGCGCACTCTCTTGTATCCCAGACGTGTTGATTGTGATCTCTGGGGGGCCTCTGAAGCTCTCCACGACACGGATTTCGAAACAGCGCGGAAGCGGCTTCTGGATGTGTGCTTCTTCTGTTGTTGAACAGGCTTTTGCAGAAAAATCTGTGCTTCATGATTTTTCTGTCAGTTAAATAGCCACCGGTGGCCCTTTTTTTCCAGAGGGGGTGGGTGGGTGGGTAGATTTCCAACAGGAGAGCCAGGATAAATAGTATTAGGCGGATTTGTACATCCTCATGTTAATAGCATTGCTTCTTGTCTTTTCCTGCTAGCTGGACAACTACAGTCAGGAAGAGCTGGCGGATCTGTTTGTGAATTACAGCGTGAAGTCCCCCATTACAGGAAATGACCTCACTTCTCCGGTGTCTTTCAATCTTATGTTCAAAACCTCTATTGGGCCAGGAGGAAACATGCCTGGGTATATGTGTATACAAAACGGGGGTGGGTGGGGTGAGTCGACACTTGCTGTGGACATGAAGGAGTGGCTTGGATTATACTGGGTTTGAGGGTGTTCCTGCATGTTGTGCTTCTGGCTGGCTGGCTTTCCTTGTTTGGGGGAGGGCCTGGGAATTGTTGCTTCATTCTGGGGGACAGGATGGCCCGTATCTGCAAAGTTAGTGGAGGGACATCTAGATGAACAGCCCCAAAGATTGTGCCCTGTAGTTTCCTCACATGGTAGTCCTCGCTTAGCAACTGCCTTGGATAGCGGCTCTTTGCAAATACCAGTAATGGTAATTAAAAATTCATTTTCCGACCAATGTGCCCATTTAGAATAACAGAAGCCTCTAGTGTGAAACTGATTAAGGTCTGGTCAGTTTCGGGCAGCAGGTGGGAGCCTGTGGAGGGTTATAATCAACTAAAGTCACAGAGCTGGGCTTGTTAACTTGCAGTTAGCAGATGGTGCTGAGAAAAGCAGCTTAGGATTCCTTGTTTAAGCAATCTCTCTGCCCTGCAAGGGGGCAAAAAAAGGGGAAAAATGGTCAGGCATAGGACAGTGTATAAGAGAACTTTATCTGAATTGATCAGTGATCTTCACAGTGTCTCTTTCTCTCTCAGTCATGTGTTCACTTAGTGACTTTTGCTAAACGACTGAATTGTCAGAACCAACTGCAGTCACTAAACGAGGACTACAGGTACTCCTTGCTTAACAATCGCAATTGGGACCAGCAACTCTGTCGCTAAGTGACGTGGTTGTCAAGCAAGACATCACATGACCATGCCTTGCAGTTTCACTGCTGGCTTCTCCACGGACTCTGCTTGCCGGAAGCCAACTGTGAAATGCGCAAGTGGTGATCACATGACCATGGGACACTGATGGTCATAAACACCCTCTGGTTGCCAGGTGCCCAGATCTTGATCACCTGACCATGGGGATGCTGCCATGGTCATAAGTGTGAGGACCAGTCGTAAAGTTGCTTTTTCAGAGCTGTTGTACTTTCAGACAGTTGCTAAACAAGACTTAAGTGAGGACTACCTGTACCTATATTCTGGATGATCAGATTACTAGTGGCTACTAGCAATAGCTGTATTTTGACTAATACAGGAGGTAAACCCCAGCTACTGCAGGTCCTGCGGATGCTCCCTACTTTTAAAATCAGCAGGGCTCCTCAGAGGGAGTAAAGCATCTGTGGGCATTTGACCTCAGTGACCAAAATGGAGAAGCAAGAAGACCCAGGGATCAGGGGTCTGGCGTTGGTCATAAACGGGGAACAGCTCTGCAAGGAAGATCCAGAGCCGTGTTTCTCAACCTTGGCCACTTTAAGATGCGTGGACTTCAACTCCCACAATCCCCCAGCCAGCCATGCTTACTATCAACTGCTAAGTGTTCCTGCTTTTTATTTCTATCAATTACACTGCCCCCCCCCTTTTTTTTAAAGGTACCTGAGGCCAGAAACCGCACAGGGGATCTTCCTGAACTTCAAACGCCTTCTGGAATTCAATCAGGGCAAACTGCCTTTTGCTGCTGCTCAGATTGGGAATTCCTTCAGGAATGAAATCTCTCCTCGCTCGGGTCTCATCAGAGTCAGGTACTTGCTCTGAGGATTTGGGCAAAGAGTTGGAGGGAACATGGCCCTTGCTGGATTTTTCAGGTCCTGAGCAACTGGTGAGCTTTCTTACGGGTGCCACCCGTGCCTCCAGCTCCACTTTTCCTGCCCCCGGCTTGGCCCTGCATCTCCCCAAGCCCCCCGTAGTAATAAAATCACTGCTCTGAGGTGTCTTGGCAGATACCGAGTTTGTTTTTTTAAAAGATCTTTTGTTGTTGTACTTCCCCAAGGGTAGCTGCATTAGGGAGGTTTTTTGGGGGGCAAAGGGGACACAGAACATTGTGGCCTTCCGAAGGCAACTCCGTGCATTATTGCACGTGCCACGACAAGTGTTCTCGTGGCTCTTACCGACAAACTGAACAGCATTACAATCCAAAGCATCTCTCTTGGGTTTCAGGGAATTCACAATGGCAGAAATTGAACACTTTGTGGACCCCAGCGAGAAATATCACCCCAAGTTCCAGAATGTAGCAGATCTCCACATCCTCTTGTATTCTGCCAAAGCCCAGACTAGCGGGCAGCCAGCTCGTGTCATGCGTCTGGGGGATGCGGTTGAGCAGGTAACGGATGGGAAATGCCCTTGACTCCCTCAGTTGCATTCCGTGCAGAAGGAGAATGAAATCAGAAATCGTCAACGCCTGAACTAAGGGAAATGCCCAAGCCGCTTGCTCTGCAGCAGCTGGGTTCAGCTTGGTGCCCTCTGAGGGGTTGGATTTCCAATCCCATAATCTCTTGCCGTCATTGCCATCTTCCACTGAGGTTATGGGAATTGAAGAACAGGACAATCTGGGCTGCAACAGATTGGGGAGGCTACTTTACATGCGCAAGGTAGAGTAATTATGATTGTGACTTCCCTAAGGAGCCACAGGAAGCACAGCTGGGAAGGGATTTCTGAATTTGGGAGGAGAATGCACAGTGTTGGGTGCTTCATACTGTAATCTTGATTGAAGTTGTTGAAAACTAGGGTAGTCCTCGTTTAGTGACTGCAATTGGTTCCAAAGATTCAGTTGTTAAGAGAAATGATCGCTAAGCTGATGGCTGCCATCTCATTCAGATAAAGTTCTCTCCTACAGTGCTCTGTGCCTGATGGTTTTTTTTTTCCTTTGCTAACTGCAAGTTAACAAGCTCAGCTCTGTGACCTTAATTAGTTGATTAGAACCCTTGGGCTGGCTTGCAGCTGCTGCCTGAAACTGACCAGTTTCACACTGAGGGTTTTTGTTGTCCTATATGCCTGCATTGGTCAGAAGATGATTTCTTTATTACCGTTTATTACTGTCTTATTTGCAAATAGTTGCTATCTGAGGGAGTTGCTAAACGAGGACTACCTGTATTTATGCTGCATGAGATCTGACCACTTGGTAAGCTAGGATTTTTTTAAAAAATCCCTAAGCACAAAATGCAGGTTTAATCCTGAACCTTAAGTCCACAATTCTGTGGGTGATTTTCTGTAACTGGAATACACCACAAAAGAACCTTCCCCATTACGGTTCCCCTGCTAGCTAAGAATTTGCGGAATTGTGTTCCCAAGATACCTGGAGGTGCCAGGGAAGGGAAGGCTGTTGAAGTTCCCTGGAGAGAGCAGTCTGGCACTTTATGCCTCCTTACAGCGCCTGTTCCCTTGAAAAAGCCATTCAGGAGCTTCCTGCTGCTTCTCTCTGCTCTCCTAGGGTGTGATCAACAATTCCGTGCTGGGCTACTTCATTGGCCGGATCTACCTCTACCTCACCAAAGTTGGCATCTCTCCAGACAAGCTTCGCTTCCGGCAGCACATGGAGAACGAGATGGCTCACTACGCCTGTGACTGCTGGGATGCGGAGTCCAAAACCTCCTACGTAAGCGATGCCAAGCTTTTGCACCCTTGGGCGGAGGGGCGCAACTCTTCATTTGCTTTGTCTTCTTAATTTATTACATTATTTTATGGCTTGGGGCTGTTTTACACTTAATCGTTCGAAAGAGGTATAGTGTAGGATAACTAGAGCAAACACCCTGGCTGTTGTTTGGCATCTCCTGAATGGTGAGAAGCCAACTTGAGTAAATGTATATATATCCCACGTTGTCTGTCTGTTTTTGAAGAGCCACAAAAGGGATTGCTAAACCATCAAAAGCTGTTAGAACGCCAAACCGCTGTGATGTGCTTGTTCACTTGGTTCTCCTTTTAGAGGCTGTTTCTTGAGTGCCAAGCCCCCCTTTTTTTTCTGGTAGGGGACAAAAGCAGGAGACTTGGGGTTCCTGAATGGTCTTGCCAGCTCCATTGAGGGGGCTGCATCATATCCCAGTAAAATACATTCAAGGAATCTAACATGGGGGGCAAAGTTGTCAGTCTTTTCTTTGGAGTTTTTGGAGAATTAAGGGGCAAAATGAGTCACCCCTAACTTCAAGGGCTTAATGGCAGTGTTTCTACCCCCTAACACTGCTGGCCCCCCTTCCCCGAAAGCGGGTCAATTGCGGCCCTTAACGTGGCATGCAAACCCTGGCACGACCTTCCGGTTGGCAGAGATTACACACTCCTCGATTCAGATTTTCATCCCAAATAGGAAATTTGTATTGACGTGAGGTCCATCTTTTTCATCTGCTATCTCAGCCTGTGCTTTCTAGCTGCCTTGGGGTGAAAGGTGGCAGGCTCAGCAGATGGCCCCATGGGGTCAAGAGCTAAGCAGGATCAGACCTGGCTAGGATTTGGATGGGAGGCCACCAGGAAATCCTAGAGCAGTTGATTAGACTGGGGAGTTGGAAAAGATGCTGGGAGAAGACACACTTGCAGGCTGTGTCCAAGAAAATTGTTTGGACATCCCAGGAGTTGACTTAAAGGGAATTTTACCTTTCTGTTGCATTTACAGACTCTCAGGTGCTCCAGTATTTTTTTCCTCCACTCACATAATATATATATCAGTGTTTCTCAACCTTGACAACTTTAAGACCTGGCTGGGGAATTCTGGGAGTTGAAGTCCACAGGTCTTAAAGTTGCCAAGATTGAGAAACACTGATATTATAGGATATCACTGGAGTGTCTTTCACGATTTGTCCAGGGGTGCACGGAACAAAGACGACGACTTAATTTTTGGCTTTTCCAGGGGTGGATTGAAATCGTTGGCTGCGCTGACCGCTCCTGCTACGACCTCTCCTGCCACGCCAGAGCCACCAAAGTCCCTCTTGTGGCCGAGAAGCTTTTGAAGGAGCCCATATCCTTGTGTAAAACAAAGCCGCGGCTGTTTTCTGATGCCGATTCTTTCCCACAGCAAGGTTGGTGTGGGTGAGCTGTAGCCACCGGGGTGAAATCAGGGAGCTGCTGTGAACGAAGAGCTGTGACTCTTCTGCGATCGTAAACTTGAAATGAGATCCCAACTATTTCTGTGCCCCGTGCTGAAGATAGCCCTTGCGTCACTTCGTTGAATTCTCGTGGCCTGTTTGGAGGCTAATTCGGTCATTTCATTTGAAAGGGTTAAATGTTTTCAGGCACTGCATGGAGAAGAGACAGCTGGAGCTGCTGCTGGATCCAAAAGTTAAACTTCTTGAAGCCACCGAGTAGCTGCAGAGCAGCCTGGTCCAGAGGGAGGAATCTTGCGTTCCCAAATCAGGGAGTTCTGCATCTTGATAGATGCAAATATAAGTGCAAAAGAAATGGTGGAAAAGTTCAGTAAAAAGCATTTAACTTGCACCGTGGGAGATAATACACACAAGTACACATCCTTGCAGTTACTTTCCTTAGTGCCACCCGCACAGAATCGCCAATGTGGTTCAGTTTGAAGCAAGCAAGGGAGCCGTTGGGAAGGCGTACAAGAAGGATGCCAAACTCGTGCTGGAGTACCTTTCCATCTGTGACGAGTGTTACATCAGTGAGATGGAGAAAGAGCTCAGTGAAAAAGGGTAAGCTGAGCTTGGATCCCTTTGGAAGTTACGTGAGTCAAGATTTGGGGCGCAGCGTTCAAATGCGATAAATAACAGTTGGAATCCGGTATTGATTTGGTTTTTAAGAGTTCACTCTCTGATCTCCGAATACTGATTTATTGATACCAACCTTCATAAACTGTCCTCTTTCAGAAGACTCGGGGCAGTTTTCAGAAGAATGAAAATAAAAACAATAATAATCAGTTTCCAAGTTACTTCCAAGAGCAGCCTCTTGTAAAGAAGGTTGCAGTCACCTAAAAGTGAGCTGATGGGTGTGCAAGCCACTGTCATGAGAGCTATTTAGGTTCTGTGGGTGCAGCTAATCTCTAACGGGAATTCCTCCGTTTTTGAGGAGTTGAAATTTCCTTTTAGTGTCTCTGAAGCTAGAGTACATGGATCTGCATCCTCCTCCACCAGTTCCCTGTTTAAATATCCATTTAAACCCACAGTTAAAAGAAGCACTTAGGTATCGTTTTGACACTTTCTCTCCTTGATAGGGAATTTACTATTGAAACTGAAGGGAAAACGTTTCAACTAACGAAGGACATGGTCACCGTGAAGCGATTCCAGAAAACCTTGCATGGTAAGTCTTCTTCCCTCTCAACGCTTCAAAAATAGGGCTACCAGAGCTGAAGTGCAAAAAATGTTCTTTAGATGGCAGCAGAATATTAGAATTTTTTCTTTCTTTCCTGCCATCTGATGATACTGCTGATAAAAATGGTCCTAAACCTGGAAACTAACATACTTTGTCTCTTTATTGAAGCTGACCCAGAAACGTAGACTCTTTTCCCTATCTGAGGCCGTCTCTTGTTTTCTAGTGGAAGAGATCGTTCCCAATGTGATCGAACCTTCGTTTGGAATTGGAAGAATCATGTATACAATATTTGAGCATACATTCCGCATCAGGGATGGAGATGAACAGCGAACGGTAGGATTTCTTGCAGTCATAGCTTGGTTCAGGCATTCATGTAGGGAACTCTGAATTACATAGCTCCATCAGTTGATCCAGGGATGGGTGGAGTGGATTTAGCCCTGAGATCTAGACCTATTTAATATCTCAGTGCTACATGAGGCTTCGGTTAAGCCTCTCTCTCTCAGTTGCCCTTCCTCACCTGTCAGATGTGAAGAGATGTGAATTTGACCCCAGAAGGCAGTCTGTTTCTCTACGCTGTCCCTAATTTGGAACATTACCTTGTGTCTCCAAATCACACAGAGGAATGACCTCCTCTGTTTTTTGGTTTCAGAGTCCTTCTTATGATTATTGAGCACGAACACCCCCTTCCATTCATAGACAAACAACCTATTAATCCAGCACACTCCAGCCATCTTGGCTAGCACTGCAGAACGTCTGGTCTTTTCATTCAGGTGCTATCTCTTGATACGGCCTAATGGCTAAACAATAATAATAATAAATTAATAAAGTAATTCAGATGCTACCAAGGCCCCTTCCTGTTTTGCTTTTTGGCACCAGAGGCAGCAACTTGCTTGGCCTCCTAAGAAGGCCCACAATTGCTTAGTTTGATCCCTTCCTGAAAATCCTTTGAGGCTACAAAAGAGCCCAGAGGCATTGTGGGAAAAGGAAATGACCATGGAGAACATCTGCAGCCATTTGCCCAACTTTGAAAGAAAATAAGGAAATGCTTTGTTGGGAGCAAAGAAAGAGTGTGCGGTGGTAGATGTTGTAGGTGAGACACATGTTGGGAGTAAAGACGTGCAGCCTGGTTCAAGGTCAGACCATGGCCCCCTTCAAGGTAACGTTGAAACACGATCCGTCGGGTCAGAATGTTTCGACCCGGGTGGGTCTTGCAGTCCTAAATCGCCATGCAAGGATGGGCTCTGCCAGCCCCACTTTTCTGAATGTCTGCTCGCTTTTCTCTCTGCACCAGTACTTCAGCTTTCCTGCTGTTGTGGCACCCTTCAAATGCTCCGTCCTTCCCTTGAGTCAGAATCAGGAATTCATTCCGTTCGTGAAGGAACTATGTGAGTAAAGTGTTTCCCGTTCCCTGTAAATAAGACTGATTGAATGAATTACTTCTGGAAAGGGGATTCTTATGGTCTTACCAGCAACACAGACCTGAAACGAGTAGGAAATATGATGAGGGCCCAGTATTTTAGTGCTCTTCCAGCTTCTCCCTCAATTTGTTGGGGGGGGGGGAACTATTTGAAAACTGTTTTTCTGAGCTCTTTTGGCATAAGTTGTCCTTTCATTCTCCTTTTGACATTAGGAAATGCTAAATGGATTTTTTTGGAGATTTTGGGCTTCTGTTTTTGGGTTCCACTCTGGAGAGACCTTGTGGAATTCATGTTCCCCCCCCCCCGGTTCTGTATGGAATGCAGAATGTACGCTGTATTTTTGGGACTTGAGAGAGGTTATGTTTTCTAAAGATTCATCCTGTAAATAAGAATAAGGCTGTCCTTGACTTGTAGAAGCTAAGATTCCTAGTCAGCGATTTAGCCATGTCTTGGGGACCTCTGTGTCTGTTGTGTTCACCCTTACTTTCTGTCAGATGAGGCAAATCAGTAACCAACTGATTTGCATGTAGTAACGAATCATTCCTCCATTTCCCTTTTAACCAGCTGAAGCTCTTACCAGAAATGGAGTATCCCACAAAGTGGATGACTCCTCTGGATCCATTGGTCGGCGGTACGCAAGGACAGATGAAATCGGTGTGGCTTTTGGGATCACGGTTGACTTTGACACCGTCAATAAGACGCCGCACACAGCCACCTTGAGAGATCGCGACTCAATGCGGCAGATACGGGCCGAGGTAGGATGGTCTGTGGGCAGCCAGCTTGAGGTGGCTTGGTATGGTCTGCTTTTGCACAGGATAAGGTGGGGTAAAATCTGCAGGAGATAAAAATATGCCCTTGGGAATGAAAGGTGGAGGGAGGAGGACGTCATCTACCACCACCACTCCAGCAGAATCCATCTCCTCAATAAACATTTTCCCCTTCTAACTCTTTTATGGGCTATAACGCAGTGAGATCTTCTGGGTGGTGGGGGGATTATAAATATTTTAAATAAAGGTACATTAAACTTCTCCAGGGAGGTTAGAAATCTCCAGGGCTTTCTACTTTAATCAAGAGAGGGACCACCTAAAAGGAGACAAGGGCCCACGTGGACTGGTAAAACTCAGCTCCTTGGGTGGAGATTGCTGGAGAACGGGAGCTAGAAACGGTTCTCTGGCGGTGCTGTGTATTTGCCCTGCTGCCCACGGCTTTGGGGAGGGGGGAACAGGGCTGTGGAGTCGAAATCAGAAGCAATTTTTGGGTTACTGGAGTTGGAGCTGGTAAAAATGTACCAACTCCAACTCCTAATTCAAACTGTACATAATATAAATAATATAATACATTAAAATTTCCTATTTCATAGATAATTTGATTAACCTATTTTTTTTCAGGGTATATTTTAATTCCAAGTTCTCTGCCAATTTCACAAAATATATTTTGATAAAAATATAATCTCTCTGTTTTTATTTTTTAGCTTTAATCCTTTGTTTAAACAATAAGGATACTGAATGTTTGTCATTTCTTTAATAAATAAAATAAATAAACCCGAACGTCTTAGCTATAGCCTTTAGACCCAAGCTTTAACAGGTTAGGGTTCTAAAAAGCTGTCTGCTGATTCCTGTTGGCAAGGATGAAATGCCTTGTATTATTGCAGGTTTGCAGTTGATATAGGGAATATATAATTAATATATCTATAATTTATTTCCTATAGCAATATATCATTAAAGGAGTCGGAGTCGAAGGTTTTATGTGCTGACTCCACAGCCCTGCTGAGAAGGTCGTCTCACTGCGTCACCTTCTTGCATTCTGAAAGATGGAATCTCAGAAAAACGGACACTTAATTTGGTTTGATCAGTGTGTCATCTGTTCTCGCTTTTAGATCTCAGAGCTGCCAGCCCTGGTTAGTGGCCTGGCCAACGGAAACATAACTTGGGCTGACGTGGAGGCCAAGTATCCTGCCTTTGAGGGACAAGAGACCGGCAAAAAGGACGCAATAGAGGTCTGAAGCGAATACCGGAAAGAAAACCTCATTGTGAAGTCCACTTTCTATCGTCCACGTTAATAGGGAATTTATGATATGCATTATTTGACATGGCGTTGTTCGCACACCCAGGGACTGTCTGGTTATCCACTCTGCCTAATTTTAACTCCCATCTCCAGTAACTGCAATTAAAATGGCTAAAAACGTGCTGGCTTGTCTTGCTGTGGCTCTCTTAACTTGAAATGTCTTCTCTGTAGGAGACCCTTAATTCTGTCTCAGCATGGATATCTAGCCTGTAATGCTGTTTATAGATTATTATGAACCAGTTTCTCCCTTAACTTTTATCACATAGAAGTGTTTCTCAACCTTGGCCGTTTGAAGACGTATGGACTTCAACTCCCAGAATTCCCCAGCCAGT